CTCTTTTTTTTTAATTGTACAGGGGCCCCTGCCCCTGCGGGCCCCTATTTGTGTCCGCCAATGTATGCAGGTACCACTTACCCTCAAGTGAAGTTCTCAAAGACATTAGAGATGCAAGACATTTATGAGAATTTTCACAACCCAAACTTTCTAATGCTTTGAATTTTTCTTTTGAACATTGGGTTATGAACCTTCACTGAGACACCAAGGTGATTCTAGTTAGAAACTTTCTCTGTGCAGAAATCATGTTGCATTTTGTAAACATCAAATTTTTTATTTCTTTGTGAACTCCTAATTTTCTACTTAGGTCTGATGTGGCCAGTTATTCCACAGTAATAACATATATGAACAAAGTTATGTCATGACTCACTCTCAGATTTACTGACATGCGAATGAACTTTCATGTTGTTTTTAGAGGGAGGAGTTTTACTTACCGTGCTCTTCACAAACATGGAGTATAGATCACGTGAAGGCATACCACGAGCACTGGTACCTCTAATACATAACTTGCTGGAGAACCCCAGCCCAGGATGCTCACTTTGGGATGATATATCAGATGAACTTTTAACGATTTCAACTTTTCTAGTGTATCCTAATCCAATAAGATCACCATATTGTTTCCCCATGGTGAGAAGTTCATTAAGGCCTGCTCTTTCTTTGCAGGTCACGAAGGTCGTCTACCGATGAGAAAGGCATATCAGGTCGAACAAAGCCAGTCGAGAGTCTTTTTCATACCAGGTCCGGTTTTGACAACAACTATTACAATCCCCATGCCACCAAGAACATTAGAAATTATTTATGAGTTACAATAATTACGTAGATAGGATTTTAATTTTTCAGAATTTGAAGTGACTAATTTGTAGTTTATGCTCAACACTTATTATTTCACATACACATTTTTTTTATATAGAGTCATATAATACATATTATTATATGACACAAATGTGCTTCAGATCATAATGTGCTTCTATTTGACACAAATGTAGAGAGTGAGAGAAAGAAAAAGAGATTTGCTTTTGACAGTGCCTGGGTGAAGATGGAAGGTGTCAATGAAGCTGTAGAAAAGGGTTGGCAGATTACTGTGCCTGGATCTGAGATGTTCCAAATTCAACATAAAGTGAAAAATACCAGAATGCAGCTCTTAGCATGGTATAAGCCTTCCAATTGAAACAATGAAAAACAATTCAGTTTAAACTCAGCAATTAGAGGAGATGAGAATAGAAAGAAAAGATAGAAATTTGGAATCATGGGGGCAAGTAAAGATTGATTTGGACAGAGCTCACAAGAAAGAAGAACAATTTTGGAGACTAAAGTCTAGAGCTTTGTGGCTAAAGGAGGGTGACTGTAACACCCAGTTCTTTCATGTATATACCACCCAAAGAAAAAAGCAAAATTCAATCTAGAAATTGGTTACAGACTCAGGATATGTTTGTGAATCTAAGGCTGATTTGGAGCAGCACATTTCAGAGTTCTATACTACTCTCTTCACTCTGAGAGACTAGGGAATGTGGAAGACCTCTTACAACACATTCCCCAAACTATATCAGATAACATGAACAATAAGCTTATCAGGCCTATCATTGACCAAGAGATAAAAGATTCTTTGTTTTCTATGTCCCCTGAAAAGGCACTAGGAAAAGATGGCATGTTTGCCAAGTTCTTTCAACACTTCTGGCATATTCTAAAGAATGATGTGTGCAAAATTATAAAGATTTTCTTCATTTCTGGGCATATGGCAAAGAACTGGAATCACACAGTGATTACACTCATACCTAAGTGTCTGTACCCTGAAAAGCTGAAGAATTACAAACCTATCAATCTATGTAGAGTCATGTACAAAATCATTGCAAAAGTGCTAGCTGAGAGATTAAAATGCGTTTTGAATGATTGTGTCAGTCAAGCACAGACTGCTTTTGTTCCAGGCCAGCAACTACTTGGCAATGTGGTGCTGACACATGAAGTTTTTTATTTTTTAAATAGACACATGCCTGGGCAAAGTGTGTTTATGGCTTTGAAGTTGGATATGGAGAAAGCGTATGACCGTATTGAGTGGGATAGTATCAACAGAACCATCAGCAAAATGGGGTTTCGTACCAAGTTCATTAGGTGGATCATTGTTTGTGTGACTACAACATCTTTATCTTTTAATCTCAATAGAAAGGTGAGGGGTTTTATAACCCCTTCTAGAGGAATCTGACAAGGTGATCCATTATCACCTTATATATCTATTATTGTTTTTGAATTATTTTCTGCCATTCTGCAACATTATGTGAGGAGGGGTCAGTTCAGAGGAAAAAATATCAAAGGAAGGACCAATAGTTTCCCATTTGTTTTTTGCAGATGATGCTTTGGTTTTTTTGTAAAGCAGATGCACATCATGATCATATTGTGCTTGACATTCTGCAGAAATATCAGGTTTTTACTGGACAAAAAGTGAACTTGCACAAATCATCATTATTTCTGAGTAGGAACTACTCTGAAGACTTGCAGGAGAGAATAAGCTCTATTTTTAGAGGAGTGGTTATCAATAAGTCATCAAGATATCTAAGCCTATCTCTGGGAATAGGGGCCTAAAAAAGAATAGCTTTCCAGTTTGTCATTGAAACAATGAGAAACATGATATGTAGCTGGAAAAATAGTTCTTATCCACAACTGGGAAGGAGGTTTTGGTGAAGTCAGTTCTTAATGCTTTACCATTGTTTATAATGTCCTGTTTGTGCTACCTGTTGGCATATGTAAGGACATCTGTAGACTGATTGCAACATTTTGGTGGAACAAAAATGAGCAAAATAAAAAGGGCCTACATTGGATGTCATGGGATAAAATGACCAGACCCTAACAGGAACGAGGGATTGGGTTACAGGATATCAGACTGTTCAACAGAGCTTTAATTTTAAGGCAATTATGGAGAGTTGTGTCCCAACCAGAGTAGCTTGTGAGACAGGTCTTAATACACATGTATTTCCCCTCTTAGTTTACTCTTGACCTCAAGAGATGCAGTGGAGTTTCTTGGCTATGGAGCTCCTGGGCTAAATTCTTACCTTATCTGAAAATGCATATGTTTAAAACTATCAAAAATGGGGAATCAACAAAGACAAATGAAGTGAACTGGGTCCCTGAAATTAAAGGCAGAAAACCTGAGCTGAGAGTGCAAGTAGAGAGGAATGACTTTTGGGTGAAGGACCTGCTCATTGATGGATGATCCAGATGGGACAGATCTGGTGAGAGCTTTGTTTAAAAAGGAGGATGCCGACAAAATTCTGAATATTGCTCCTTTGAGTAACTTACCTGAAGATGTGTGGAAATGCCCTCTGGTTGATAAATGTCTGTTTTTAGGTAAGACTGCTTATAACAACATGATGTCAGAAAAAGTGAATGTTATTGCAAGAGTAGAAAGCAGTAATTTAGCAACAAGAAGTAAGAAATCAAGGTTGAGATGTTGGAGGCTTAAGGTGGTTGGGAAAGTAAAACACTTTGTGTAGAGGTGCTTTTCAAATATTGTCTCTGTTAACTGCAACATAAAAATCAGAGGCATGTATATTGATACAGCGTGCCAGATTTGTGGTGGAGAGGAAGAATCATTGGAGCATGCTCTATTCCCATGCTCCAGAGCAAAGGTAACATGGAAACTTGCACGTGTGCAATGGAACAGGTTCCCAGATGAGCAGAGTGGTTTCCAAGACTGGTGATGGTGGGTGAGCTCGATGAATTTCAAAGACATTTTAGTGGACCAGATTCAATTATCCACATATATCTTGTGGTGCCTCTGGAAGGCTAGAAATCTTTGGGTCTTTGAGAGAATATGACAACCAGAAAAGTGGATAGTTAAAATGGCTACTCAAGATTGGTTGGATTTCTGTAGCGGACAGTTGAGAGTTGTTATGGGAACATAAAGGGGTGCACTAGGTCTCGTGTCAGTGATGCATGGCCACTTTGGTTCCTGACAGATTCTGCTACAGTTAGAAGTTAGTTATTTTGTTAATTTGGTTTATGTATTTTTTTTAGTAATGTTGTGTTGACTATAGTTTTGGTATGTAGTATTGAATGTGGTTGCTATGGTTTGTAGTGTTTGATAGTTATTTTTATCGTCTAGGTTGCATATGATTGGATGTAACCTCTCAGGTAATCAGGATTGAGGCTTTGCCTTATATAATTTCTGCCATTTGGTTGTTGAAATGAGATTTTTCGCCGTTGAAAAAAAAAGTTATGTTAATTAATTTTAATATTCAATGTTTAGTGGTTGTATGTGTATATATATTGTTATTAAAGTTTTTTCTTGTTTCACTATAAGCTATAGTGAAAATTGGACTTTATTTTTACAAAAGCTTATGCTTCCATGGACACAAAGATCAATAACTATATATCAAGTAATTAGTAAAACTACTTGCCTATAATTTTTTTTATAAGTGTATAATTAAATATGAATTTGTTATTAATTAATATTAGTAGTATTATTACTTAATCAAATAAAAAAAATATTAGTACACTATAAATAAGTTTTCACAGTTAAATGAAAAAAAAATTGGCAGGAAATTGACATTAACTAAATGACCACGATTTTATTAGGCAAATTTACATTTTTAGTCTTGCCGGTTTAACGCTGTAGCAATTTTAGTCCAATTATTTCAATTTTTTGTCTTTTGATCCGGTAATTTAATATTTTGCTGCAATTCCAATCACCTGAGACTGAAATTGTAACAAAATTCAAATTTACAGGATTTAAATTGCTAATTAAAAATTCATCCAATTTTTTTTTATTAACAACTTAAGTTCTGTAAATTTAAATTTTGTTGTATTTTAGTCTCAAAGGACCGAAACTGCATCGACTTTTAAAATCATAGGACCAAATAGTATAAATGTTCAATTCTGATGACTAAAAACGCCACTAAATCAAAATACGATACACCGGAGGCCCAAATCTGTCATTTAGGAGGGGCCAAGGTCGGTTACAGTCGTGGAGGCACATGAGTTATGATGCGTGGAAGCTGGTGGCAGAACAAATGGCCGCTTCCCCTCGGAAAACGCTTCTTTCTCTTTCCCCTCCTCTCTTTTTTCTCATCTTTTTCTCCTCAATTTTCCTCCTCACTGCTGCATCTCCACTTCAATTTCTCGATTTCACACTCGCCGGTAATTTTTTTTTTTATTTTTTATTTTATTTTTGTTATGTATGGTCCTGCATTTCCATGGCGCCGCTTCATTTTGAGACCTTGTTTTTTTGTTTTTTTGTTTTTTTTTTTTGTAATTAAATTTGTGTAATATGAATTGGATTTATTTATTTATTTTTTCTGGAGAGTGCATTGAGATGGAATAGAGATGGCGACGAAGCTGCTGTACTTGGTGGTGCGGGAGGATGACGACGGCGCTCAGGGAGGGAATAATGCGCCGTCGTTTCGGTACTCGCGTCCTGTTCTCCAAAGCACTCTGCAACTCATGGGTTGCAAGCCTCGTCATGCCTTTAAGGTCTCTCTCTTTATGTTTCTGCTTTTTGCACTCTGTTTGTGACGATTTTTTTTTAATTTGGTTGAGTTATGTTATCGGCCTCACAGTTTGCATGTGTTTGTTCATACATGCATGGCCTTGTTGAGGAACAAAGGTGCTATCTTTAGCCGAAAATGGACCAATGTATTCATACTATTAGAATATTCAATCGTTTATATAGGGAAAATTGACCTGATTTATAAGTCTAACGGGCTACTCCTCCTTCCACGAATTGGTTTTGGAATGGAACCTCATTTGAGCTTCATCTTGTGGTGCGCTTCACGTGCGTGGGACCGCACTCGTTTTTTCTCCCCCGTTTCTTACACATACACGTCTATTAATTTCTAATTTAATTGGATAAATTTCTTTTGTGTTCTTTGTGTGGTCCTTTAGTGATTGTTGTGGAAGGATGCACATGTTGAAAGGTGAAAAATGATGCACAAAATTCCATATGTCAATGTCACCATAAAAGATTTTAGTGGGTGTTATTTGATCTGTAGTGTATGATGATGATGTTTGGTTATCAGCTTTGTGATCTTATGTCGGCAGTTAAATATATGTTCTTTCGACATTTCTTCTTTTTATGGATAAATGTTTGAGATACAACCATTTATCATATTTGGGAATATAGAATGTGGAAAATTTGTAGCATATTATTATTCCAACTTCTGTAATTTTGAGCAATATTGCTCATGCTGGTGTATTTTCTTTTATTTGTTAATTTCTGAGTTTGTATTCCTGTAGAATTTCCAGAGACTTTTGAATACTTCAGAAAGAAATCATGGTGTATTTAATTTAGACTTTTAAAAGTGTCGAGGTAGTCATTTGCTATTTCAAAGCCTTACAAAGCTTATATATTTAACTTATAATTTGAGACTAGAATTTGTTAAGACTTTCTAGGATTAAAAAAAAAAACATATACGAAATTCCACTCCAGGTCCCAAACGAATACACAAATAATAAGCCTAATATTGACGAATATATAACATCATTTCATTATGAACAGAAAAATATAAAAAATAAAAATCCTGCACTTCTAGTCGTGCATTATTTGAAATTGGATCCGGGCATCTTGCATTGTTCACAGCTATTCTACAAATTACAAGTGACTTGGATTTTTTGTTGCATCAATCTTGCACCTCCATTAGCCACTTCTCCTTGATTATATTCTAAAGCTTCATACATTTTACAGATTAGCCAGCGGGTATTTGAAATAATGAGACTTGGGAGTCTGGAGGAGAGATCGTTTCAAACATGTTTAGGGGTTCCACACGAACATGTCAAGATATATCCCAACAGGGAGTCTGAATACCATGTTGATGCCTTTGTGGACAAAGCAGATGCTGATACAATAGCTTTAGATAAAGATAAGAGTAAGAGCAGACCATTTGAATTGTATAAAAAACGCACCACTGTTGTTGTTAGAAGAAAAAAATTTCTAGATGTTGTTTGTGAAGCACTTTCTGAGTACAAGTATGTTGGGCCGAACCAGAGGGCGGATTTAGTCATAGCTTGCAGGTAAACTTGCATTTCCAGATACTTACAAGTATGTTGTGTGCATGGTGTGGATTATTCAGAAAATCACTTACTTTTTTATAGTCTTATCCTGTTATATGACTAGGCTGGATTTTACACTATTCTTGTTCTGCCAACGTGCTTCACCAAATTACTAATGTTGAGTCAATTCTGTGCGTGTTTGCATAATAATAACATATATTGTACATTTTGTTTTGCGGAAACTTATTTGTGCAGCTCAAGTATTTTTTTTTTTTTTTAAATAACTTGAATCTTTTTCTGATATAACAATATAGCTTGAGATAGTCTATGTCACGAGCTTCTGGTTGCGATGGAAGTACCTGCTACCTTTTTTTTTTTAAGAAAAATATTTCTGGAACTATGCTTGTATCTTGATACACATGGAGAATGCTCAGCTGTAATCATGGTACTATGGACTAGGCCTAGATTTAAGGTTGTCTTTCTGGGTAAATTTTTGTGTTTCTCTGAGAACAAAAGCAAATATGATAAACTTAAATAAACTGGAACCCATTTTAGCATTGCTTGTTAGCTACTATTTCTGGTGACGATTGCGAGAAGATGCAGAAGCCGAGGAGATAAGATTGGATTTATTTCTTGAAATTTAAACGGTCACCACATTAGGATATCTTTCCACTCTGTTTCATTCCCTTCTATTTTGCTTCCATATCCTTTCCTATATTGAATTTTATCAGAACTTTCCTGATAATGACTCGCATATTTACACAGTGAAAGCATGAGCATCTTGAATGGAAAATGAACAAGGAAAAATACGGTCTTCAGAAGATTTTGATATGTAAAACACTTCACTTATGCTTTGTGTAAAGTTATTTGTGGTGTTAGAATTGTTGCTCCAGTTGTTTTCATCGTACTATGTATCCTTTATCCAGATGTAGAGTAGTGAGTTGGATTTTAGTACATATCTAACTTTCTAAATTTGTGTTCCTCTGAAGGACAATTTGACAATCATTATTCATGTTGAGTTCGTTGTAATGTTAGCATAGTATGTATACTTCTTTTACAAGGAATATTTAGGTTGTTACTTGTTACTTAAAAGTAATTTCTGGGTGCAATTTCATTTGGCAAATAGAGTTATAGTTCAAAATTCCTGATGCTGCTAAGTGCTAACAGTCCATTTATCTATTAGGCGGTAAGACCCTTTTCCTTTAAGAGGGTCGTTCTGGTTATTGGTACCATTTGTGCGGAGAGGGATAAACACTCTATGCTGACTAATATTGGGTTTCCACATCATTGTTTTGATTACCATTGGTTGCAACCAACATTGTCTTGGCGTAGTTATGTAAAATGTGATTTGAATTTTCATTTATTAACTCTTCAGAGTTATGGTTGGTCCTCCTTATCCAGTTATTCGAGTTAAGATGCATTTAGTGAACCTACTTCCTAAAATGATTATGTTTATTATGTGTAATTTGCACTTAATATTGTACCTACTTCTGATGCATGTTGGTCAGTTAAGCACTACCTCTGAACTGCTTACATGATTGATGAAGTCGCTTTCGGCATCTAGACTGACGGATGTTTTTGCCAATTTATATTGTTAAGCTTCACTATGCTCTTAAGCATCACCTTGTTCGATTAAGCAGTTAGTAGTTGTGCTTTATTAGAATGTGTCTGAGTATATAATTAGTCACTTGTGTTATTATGTACCATGTCATGAAATTGCTCTATCATATTTTTTCAGTCTTAATTTATCTCTTCAGGGTCCGAGAAAGAAAGGAGTCTGTAACTGTGTTACTCTGTGGCACGAGTGGTTGTGGAAAATCTACCTTATCTGCTTTGCTGGTTGGTTTTCTGTTACAAAGATATCCGCCTTTACCTTTTGTTCTTTTTTTTGTTATTATTTTTATTTGCAAGAATATTCTGGTGATCACCACTCTTCTATATTTTGAATTGCGAAGTTGGTTCCATTTGTTCCTCAGCATTTACAGTGTCACATTACCTGTTCATTGTATTATTGATATCTGTTCATTCAAAATCGACTTTTGGTTACGTACATAACTGTTCTGATTATGTGGATACATTTACCCTTCTTTGCTGTATTACCTGAGATATTATGAAAGACACTACTTATATGCGAGTACGTTTTTTCCCATTTACAGCTGTCTTTGGGCATTGTGATTGTAGGGTAGCAGGTTGGGTATCACAACCATTGTTTCTACAGATTCAATTCGGCACATGATGCGAAGCTTTGTTGATGAAAAGCAAAACCCTTTACTCTGGGCCTCAACCTATCATGCGGGTGAATATTTAGATCCACTTGCTGTTGCAAAGGCTAAGGACAAAAGGAAGGCAAAGAAATCAGGTGGCATTTCAGTGCCCAAGAAGGAAGAATCTACTACTTATAATACAAGTGGAAGAGCAGAAGAAGAGAATAATAAGTCAAGTGAGTTGATAAGTTCAAAGCAGATGGCGGTAGAAGGATTCAAAGCACAGAGCGAGATGGTAATAGACAGTCTCGATAGACTGATAACAGCATGGGAAGAAAGGAACGAGTCGGTGGTGGTAGAGGGCGTTCACCTAAGTCTTAATTTCGTGGTAACATAACAATTAATTTAAACCCTTTGATTTCATCATCTTAATATTATAATATTTAGAGGCTAATAATAATACTTGCAGATGGGGCTGATGAAGAAGCACCCTTCCATCATACCCTTCATGATCTACATCTCAAACGAGGAGAAGCACCTGGAGAGATTTAGTGTGCGTGCAAAGTATATGACGCTGGACCCTGCTAAGAACAGGTACGTCAAGTACATCCGCAACATCCGAGCCATCCAAGACTACCTCTGCAGCTGGGCGGACAAGCACCTCGTGCCCAAGGTGAACAACACGAATGTGGACAAGAGCATGGCCGTGATCCACGCCACCGTCTTCAGCTGTCTGAGGAGACGGGCCATAGGGGACCAGCTTTACGACCCCCTCACAAACACCATCTCCACTGTGGACGAGGAGTACAGAAACCAGCGGGCTGTCACCTCCGAGGGGAAGGGGATTTTCCAGTTGATCCAGAGGAAAGGCTCCAGTAGGCAGCTCATGGCCCTTCTCAATGATGATGGTTCAGTGGCCAAGGCCTGGCCCATGAACGTTGTGGGCCACTGTGCCGGCCCTATGTACGGACCCCTCAACATAGGCAAGGCAGAGCCCGTCAACCTGCAGTTTGGTCACTTCGGGATTACCGCGTGGCCCACTGATGTTGGGGGCACCAGCCATGCCAGCAGTGTCGATGAGTCGAGGGGAGAGTTGACTGATAATGGGAGTAGGTGCTTCTCTTCATGCTGCAGCTCCCCCAGGGGTCTTGCCAAGGAGGTATGTTCTCACCAGTTGTTAGTGATTTCACTAGCTGGCATTTTTCGATGTCTTCATGAACTGTATTTTTCCTATGGAAACTTTTGTTTTGGAATTTGCAGCTCAAGGAAGAAATGTCTGTGCATGGTAGTGATGAAGAGGTGGTCGAGTCCCTTGATGTGGATAGCGATGAGGATCTTCATGACAGAGAGAAAAACCAAGAAGAGGTATGTGGACCAGGATTCTTTAGTCATTAAGTCGAAAAACACAACCTATGTTTAGTCGAAATGGAGTGGATTTTTTTTGTATAGTGTTAAATTTAACACTATATTTGTTTCAGTGGTTTGAAAAAGATTCCGTGTGAAGTCTTTATTTTCTCTCGTTCTTTGTTTTTCAAGTTGGAAGGCTCGGTGGACGAGGGGTCAAACAAGTCGGACGAGGAGTATGATGATCTTGCTTTGCAGGATTTTATGAGCGACTGCAGCATGATAGATGATGATGATGGGGACTATTACTACAAAAATGAACTGTATGGTATGCTTTCCCCTTCTGCTAACATGTTTAATATAAAAAGCGGAGGCAACTCTCAGGGGGAGAGATACCAGCAGAATCTTGACCTCTTCCTTGGAACGAGACACGAGCCTATGATGTGCTCATTCACACCTTACTTCAAGGGGAAATATAAATTAAAGAGACGTTCGTTGAGCATACCGGCTTTGGGGAAGCTTTCTTCCCTCGCAACCAATCAGTAAGGCCACTTTTTTTAAGGTATGAGCTTGAATCTTATAACAAGTATTTGGTCTTGATTTTGATATATATAGTAGCTTGGCTGCATCCCGTAAAATTATATCTATATCCGCCTCTTGTATAGAAATTTGTTGACTAGGATGAGTTTCTTGATTTGTTTATCCTTCTGTCTAGTTCGGCAAGTGTCTTTGTCTGAAATGTGAGGTTATAATGTTTGACGTGCGTTCCTTTCATTCCTTTTTCTTCCTTTGTGGTAGTAAATGGCATTCTAGTGATGTTGGCTGAGAAAGTTAATAGTTACTGAAAGTCGTCTTTCATGGTTGCAGTGGATGAGATTGTTATTAGTCTTTTCCCAGAAATAATTAATTTTGATTATATTGTTTGTATTCTTGCCTGTCCAATTTCTAGGAAAGCTTGATTGAATACCTTCTACTTTACAATGCTGTCTTTGTTCTTATTCCATTGATTTATGGATTCTTATTTCCTTTTAATATGATTTGTCTTTAGAGATTCACAACTCATATTATAACATTTTGATGTCTACAAGATGTTCATATTTAAAAGATAAAAATAAAAAAGAAAAACACATGTGTGCCCTAGAGGATGGCATACTCTAGAATGTGATTTCATTTTGGAAGATTATATGAGATCAATGTAATTGTATATGCCATGAAGCCTATTTTGCATATTCGAATCCAAGAGCCAAACCTATAAATAGGCTACAAAATCTATTGATATCGTTTGATCTTGCCTAGGTAAGAAAACTTCGACTTCTTTGCCTATGTATGTAGTTTGATTCTGCCTATTGTAGAAACTTCGACCCATTTGTGATATGATTTGCCAAGAGGTGGCAAGATAGAAATGTGGAGAATCCAATTCTCTCGTAAGAAGATGATTTAGTTGAATCCCACATGGGTATAACCTAGCAAAGGGATGATACGGCATTTGGTTCAATCCCACATAGATAAAAGCCCAAGGATGACATGACCTAAAGACAATAATACTTGCTAGAAGTAATATTTTTGATAACGCCAAAATAAAGTTTTAAGAGAAGGGTACAAAAATGGGATAAGAAACGAATAAAGAAAATAGGAAAATGTTGGAAGGGTGCAGAATATAAACGTTGGATTTGGATTTTTCGTGCAACCTATCAGTTTGAATTGTCATTTTGCTTATAGAGATATTAGTATGCATTACCACGAAAACTGCATTTAGAGATGCTTATTTTTCATTCAGTGATATTTACTTGTGTCACAAATAAATTTACCTACACTTGCAAAATTGTCACAAAATTTGATGTTCCGAATTTATTTGTGTCACAACGTCGTTAGTACAAAATTTAATGACACAATATATTACGGTAAGTAATTTTCAATGAGTGACACTTTTTTGAGAGCGTTAGTATTATTATTACGAGTTGTGACATAAAATTTTAGCTTCGGTGAATCCTAATGCTTGACTTTTTTTTATAGCGTCATTAATAATGATTATTGTGATGTGAAATCGAATTAATGGCAATTCTCAATACGTTACACTTTTTATGTGTGTTATTATAATTTTGGTGACACAAAATATGGAAGTTAAGAATTATCAATCTGCGACACATTTTAATGTGTTATCATGAAAATTGTGTCCAGGTTTTAGTGAGACTTGCTAAGACTAACTGATTAACTAATCCATTAAGTTGGTGACAATTCTAATGAAATAATGTCACTGAGATAAGATTCTTATTTGAATATATAGCGTTTTATAAAAAAATTAGCGTTATCAAGTTCTCGGCATTATAAAAAAAATGTTATCAAGTTCTAGGTGCTTTAGTATGCCTATAAGAATAGTCGTCAAATTAGTTACACATATAATAACTTCTATCTGCATACTAGAGATTCAATGGTGAAACAAAAATATTATAATAAAACTCGAACAATGATAAATCCACAATAAATATAGAATATAAATAAAATGTTGAAATTGCAAATAACATAATAAAAAAAACCACATCATTGTCTAATAAAACAATTTCAAATAGTTCAGAAAAATGTAGAATAAAGAAGGTAAGTGATAATATTTTTGGCCGTCATACGCTCCTTATCTTAAGTTCAAACCTGTTTGGAAAAAAAAGAATAAAAATTGATATCAATTCTATTCATCAAAGTGACCCGACTAGAAAAAAATAATTTATATATGAATACGAGACACAGTTTCACATGAAACATTTAAATGTAATTTACCAACATACAAAAGGAATCATGTTTTTCCAGCACTTTCTGAGAAGTCTAGCATATTCTATAAAAAAAACACCAAATAATATGATTATATAACTTTACCATCACGAAAATAAAAATTGAGAATTTATATGATATAATAAAATGAATATAAAAACATTTACATGTGACATCTTACAACTTTGCTATTGTATTTACTGTTAAGTTCTCTATCTTTGTATCATAAGTTGACTGCATCTCACCAAGTTCTTTAAGGTCACTTGATTGTCGTTCTTTTGAGTGAAATGTTTGAGCGACACCAACTTGTGTTGGAGTCACCCCTAAACCATATCCTTTAACTCGTCCATGCTGATCTGCTCCTAAGAGTTCACATAAGATTTCATTTGAAAGTATATATGCATATCCATTTTGCAAGGTCTTTTGCAAGGTTGCACTACGTTTTGAAATCACATTTCGTAGTTGTGTCCTATTAAAAGAACATTGACATAGATTAAGATAAAGTAAAATTGCCTACCAAATCAATTTAGCTATGTATATCATTAACAAGAAGAAAAGGACATTTGTTGCTCTTATGTAAACAACCTTACCATTAAATGATATATTGAGTTTATGGCATTGCATTGCGTAGTTGGTTTTGTTTTCACTGCCAACAAAACTAAGAATGGTTAGACATTACCACTATTTTTCAACTTCTGGGTTGACAAAACTTTCATCCTTTTTTTATGCGTTATTGCAAAAAAGTCAACCTACCCAAGTTGCTTCTCATTTTTCCTTCCTGCCAGTACAATTTATTAAACTTAAACCCACCAGATAGAGAACAGTTAAATGAGATAATTAATGGCTGGAAAGATAGATAAAGAATCTCACAAACTCTTTCTTGCAACGAGCAAAACTCTTTGAACCACATGTATGGGGTGTTATATGGTGTTTCCTCGTTTTTTACACCTTTCAGACAATTTATGCAGACATATCATAAAGTACAGTAAAATTAGACTATAAAACAATTAATGTAAAACATAAGCATATTAGTTTATTTAATATCTTTGAGTCATCTAATAACCAATAACGAACAAGTTTTGTCCACTGTAAAGGAGAAATTCCTTTTGGAACATCATTAAAATTTGTTGCTCTGTTTTTTTCCGATGAAAAATGAGCACATTTTAGCTCATGTTTATAATTCTTCCATTTTGCACGAACTGAATTTAACATCAATTTTTTGACAAACAAGTTATCAGGAATATAAAATAAACCCGTATCAATAATTTTCATTAATTAGAAATAGGTTTAGATAAACAACTTGAATGAATACATATACTAAACTTCCATAAAATATTTTTATATTCATCGAGCATGTTCCTCCAATCCGAGTACTCAATGGAACGAAATCCCTTTTTTCTTGAAAACAGTACCAAACCAACCACCCAAAGTTTCATCACTTTTTTTAATTGGTTGCCCTAATTTATTGTACTCGACAATCACTTTTGTGCCTTTAGGTAGTAGTGTCCATACATCTTTAACACATGTTTGTCCATTTTATTTTCGTCCCTACGAAAATAAACAACAAAAATAAAAAGCACGTAGATAAGTTGAGTAAGTTCATGGTCCCCAACTCCGTACAATCAGTTGCATCCCTAAATATTAATTGCACCATAGTTCTATATATCATTGAGAATGCTGGTTCCGCAATATGTAGTTGAGAGCTGTTTTGGTACCACTTATTATGTTTGTGCACAACCACCACATTTAGCAAATCCCCGCTCCTTTCTCATTCATTTCCTAACTGCTGCTGCTTCTTTATTGTGGCTACTATTTAATGCATAAACCCAACTGATGGAAAACATAAAATTGCAATTTTGAACACAAAAAAAAATAAAAATAAATAAATAAATAAATAATAATAATAATAATAAATAAAAAGGTTCAAAATTCATTATTATATATTATGTCTCAAAAACAGGTTCAAAATTCCTTATTATATTGTGCCGAGACCTTTTTTCGGAGAGCACATTCTTTTGGTGAAACCGACATAGTATTGGTATTCTAACATAGTAAATAATAACTATATATTACAATAGATGACATATATAGTTGTTGTTGCTGTGCAAATTAATCTAGTATTAATAATAATATATATGTGAATATTGGTGGGAGCTCCATCAAAGGGACCACAGTTTGACCACACCTTCAGCTTAATTGTGTTTTGTGATTCGAATATACATATCTCGATTCATGAGCTGTCCCACATCGTTTATTAGAATATAATACTACTTGTGAATTGTTCTGCATCATTTTTATATAGGGAAAAATAGACACAACTTATAAGACTAGCGAGATACTTCTCTTTTTCACTAGTTTATTTCGAATGGAACATCACTTGGACTTCATCTAAGCTTTCCCTGTCATAGTGCGCTTCATCTGCGTGGGACCGCACCCGAACGTTAGTTTTAATGGTGATATTAGACAAAAACTATACAATTTTTTGAAGTAAAGAATAGCATCAATCGTATTGAGTGCAAAAGAAGGCCAAAGTAATACAAAGGACGACAATTCAACAATTAATATTTTGGCTTCATGATATTCTTTCTATGACTCCATCATGCATTGATTAGCCAAGAAAGTTGCTCTTCAAGGAAGTAGTTAAAATTTCGACACGGGCGATGTGGGCACGACAAATTAAAAGAGCCGATCGCCGAGCCTCAACTTGTCAAAGTTATGGGAATTCATACATACTAATGGTAATGGTACTATGCACAGCAGGCCAAGAAAGCTGCTCTTCAACCCCC